TTAGGAAAGGCTTAAAGTCATTTTGCACCCTTAATAAGGGTTTTCGGTTTAAGGAGACGCACCATACCGAAAACCTCTTTTGTTCTTGGAAAAAAATGACGATTTCAAGGCCCTAATCAAGTATCCTTACTAGATAACAAGTATAGGAGGTAGATACTTACAATATGGAAGCAAAGAAGGGTGTTTTCGCCCTAACACACTAGTGTGTGTTCTTGGTGAAACGAAGAACACTTGAAGTTCTAAGAAAATGGAATGATTTCACGGATGAAATCATGTAAGATCACTAGATAATGGAAGAGATCAACTAAACAAGGAAGGAAACACTTACAATCTTGAAGATCTTGACAAAAGTTCGGATGATACTTGAGAGAGAATTGTTCTTGACTTGGAAATGGAAAAAAAATGACATAAATGACTAAGTGTCATTTATATACCCTTTAGGGTTTTCGGCCCTAACACTTTTGGGCCGAAAACTCCAAACTCTTGGAGTTTTGACTTAAATGTTGCACAATTAATCCTAAAGTATACTTCCTCTAATTATCTCTTGAAGTAATCGTCTTTAGAACACTCAAACTGAATCCAAAGAGCTTAAAAATTAGCAGAAATAAATCTGACTTCTATTGAAGTGAATGGTTGTACAAGATAGAAATTTCGGGTTGTCACAGTTGAGATGAAAGATACTAATGATTCTACTTCCTGTGCAGGTAAAGTAGTAGAGGATGAGAACAAGGAGAAAACTATTGAACAATCCAATGATTCCTTGAACTCTGAATTTGTTGCTTCTAACTCAATTACTCTTAACAAACCTGCTGTTGAGAAGTACAGGCCACCAAATCAAGTGAAACAGCCGACTTGCTGCAAGTGTGTTTGTGGGAACAATCAGAGACAAGGCAAGGGCACGCCACCAGGGGCAGGAAGAAACAACTTCCCAGTGAAGAAAAAGACATGTTTTCACTGTGGAACACCTAGACACATTGCCCGAAACTGTCCAAATCGCGCCATACGTTCCCTACTACGCACAAGGATGGAAGAATGTGCCAAGAAGGAGACCTTCCAAAAGGAACCCTTCGAGGTCACAATCACGCAATGGTAACTGGAATGCGCAGAAGGGAAAGAATCAAACTCCAAAGGCCAAGAATCAAAATCCCAAAGTAAAGAAGGGTATGCCGGCCAGGAAGCCCAGTCCAAGAGATGCTCTAGTGAAACCAAAATAAAAGTCATCTTGAAGATTAGGTTCAGGTAAAAAAGCAAGTACCGAGGCACCCATCCGATCCAACAAGAAATGGGTTAAACCCGACTATAGATGGGTACCAAAGGTTCAATCTCCCAAATCTTCTAATGATTCTAATATTTCTACATCTTCTGTTTGTGATAAGGAGGACATGTCATGGGAGAGAGTACCTTGCAAAGATGACAAAGGTTGACCCAGTTTCAAAATGGACTGGGTTCCAAAGACCAACTGATCCCGCTCTGTGTCGGAGCAGCTATGGAGGCATATCATCAGACTTCGGTTTCTTGATAGTGGCTGTTCCAGGGACATGATAAGTGACATATCTCAACTGTACATCATTCAAAACTTTGTTTGAGAGTACATGTCCTTTGCGGGAAGGGAAGAAAGGAAATGATCACACATGGGGTTAGTGCTTAACGACGTGAAGAATTTTTGGATCTGTTATGAGATTATGCGTGTTATTCTCAGTCCTTCTAGATGCAAATTCAATCCATGACTTACGGTTTGAGTTTTCTTCTCGATACTCCTGAGTTTATCTTACACTGATTCGTTTTTAAGACAATTTTTTATTTTCTTATAGTTTTTCGTTTGTAGGTATTATTTGGGAAGTGATATCAAGAAAGTGATAACAGGAAGTCTAAACATGTGTAAGGGACTGAATCTGAACTGTCTAGACTCTATGTTCAATGTGCTGGTAGGCATGAAGGATTTGACAGTGTGGATTTAGGTAGGATTGTTTGGACTGACCATACGACGCTCGGGTAGATTGAGCAGAGAGATAAACACGGGAACCCACGGGATACACTAAATTAATACGCATCTAGAACAGTGGTTCAACTTTTCCTTGATGTACGGACTTATGTCCTTAATTATGGTTCTGATAGGGCGAATGGGGGGTTCTATAAAGTAGGTCTGTAGGAAATTATTTTCTTGCTTTCTATCTGTCAGTCATATGTTGCTTCCTCTGCGTGATTGGAAGAGATCCGACCTGGATTGCTACATATGCAACTCTAATTCTACGCACCTCCTTATCTATGAAATTATTTCTATCTGTTAGCCATATGTTGTACCCTCCGCGTGATCGGAAGATCCGACCTGGGACACAGCATATGCAACATTCTACCTCTCAATCTCTCTATCTCTGTTAGTCATATATTGTCCCCTCTGTGTGATTGAAAGAGATCCGATCTGGGACACAACATATGCACCTATTTCTAAATCTGACTTCCTCCTTAATAATTGTCTATTCACCTAAAGTAAGGAGTTCTTTGGAAGTTCTTGATAATGAGGGTATATCGGGAAGTGGGGAATACGTTCTAGTGCAACTAAAATTGACCCATTTAGAGGTTGTCTTTAGATCTCGCTGCTTAATTTAAGTGGACAACAATACCCCTGGTCGTTGTCAGCTAAATGGTATATTTGTAAAAGTTTGTCGATATCCTTCGTGTTAAGTGGACCACAATACCAGCAATTGACCATATCTATTCATGAAGGTGAAGGTACTGATAAACAAGTTAAGACTGTCTCAGAACTTTGATCCCAAATATTTTTGTTTTTGTTAAATTTGTTCATAGTTTTCCTCTATGCACAAATTTAGGGGGAGAATTAAAAAAAATCAAAAATCAAACAAAAATCAAAAAATTCAAAAATCAAAAAAATCAGAAAATTAAAAATCCAAAAATAGTGTTATTTCTGTTTTACTTCTTTTTCAGAAAAATCAAAAATCCAAAAATATAGTGTGCTAAGTTTTGTTTTAGTTTTGTTTTGTCTTAAAAAGTGAATTCAGGTGTAGATGAGATTCATGGAGACCGTATCGAGATTTCTGAGCCAAAGCTTCATCCGTGATCATCGAAGAATTTTCATTCGAAGGAGCAAGAAATGAAGACTATTCTTTCAACATTCAATCCGTCCACCCTATAAGCAAGGTGAAGTTGCACTTGAAGATTATGTGACAGATTGCATTGAAGCCTCCTCAATCAATTTGCTGCTATCTTTGTACCTGATGAAGTGATCCAGAAGATTCATTATGTCTGATATTCTCCCTGAAGATTCTCAAGCTGAATGCGCTATCTTTCAAGAATCAGTACAAGAAGCCTTCTCACCCAATGTGCGTTCAAAGCCAAATTCTGATGAAAAGCCCAACTGCTCAAGATGAAGTCATTCATTGAATATTCATCAAGTTCATCTAGAAGCTGTGAAGAAATCAAAGATAAATGTTGAAGCCAAGCTCCCAATGAAGATTAACAAGAAAAGCCTGCTACTTTTTAGGGGGAGTTTGTTGGGTCAATTAGAAAAGAAAGCTATAAACCAAGGGGGAGATTGTTGGGTCTAAAATATTGGTTTATACTTTGCTTTTCTAGGCAATTGGTTTTTCTGTAATGTAATATACATTTGTGGCTGTGTTCACGGCCAGGTGAATGTTTAAGGCCGTAAACCAGTTCACGGCCGTAAACATGTTCACGGCCGTGAACCCATTTACGGCCCATGTTCCCCATATGCATATAAATAGATGTTAGGTGGGTGGGGAGTGGTTGATGAACAAAGTGGAGTTTACGGCCAAGAGAGAGAAGAGAGAGAGAGAAAGGAGCTTAAGTGTGTGTTAGTGTGTGAATCTTGTATAAGGGAATTTCATTCTAATCAAATCATACAAGAATCATATTATTCTTCTTTTTCTTCTCTTCTATTTTGATCTGGCATCATTCGTTAAATTGGGATTCCGCACCATCAAACGGATTTGATTGATACATAAGCAGATTTGGGACTTACACATATTCTTACAGACTAATATCCTTATACATTTTAATATAGTTATACATATTCTAACAGAATATCATCAAAAAATGAATAAAATTCTTAAAAAGTAGCATTCTTGAATATACAATTGTTGAAAAAATACAATTGGTCTTCTTCGGTGGTCCATATAATCCATTTGATCTTGTCATATATACTTGTTGTTGAACTCGATTCCAAATATTTCTCTTGTATGATCAATATTGAATTCCTTCTCCATGCAATTCTGAAAGAATAAGATACATTACTCGTTAAACAAATTCTGACAGAATGCATTTATATAAATAAATTCTGACAGAATACATTGAAGTATTTCCAGTTAAACAAATATACTTGTTGTTAACAAACATTCTCAAAGACATTCTAACTGAATGCGTTTATATAAATAAATTCTGACAGAATACATTTTTGAAATAATACTTTATCATTGACCTGAAAATAGAATAAGTCAATTTTGTTGATAAACTAGATGACAAATGTAGGTTGGTGTATTAATAAGTCAATTCTGTTGCCCTTTTTTTTTCAAATCAAGATCGTTCAATCTACCAAATGAAACATCTTGACAGAAGAAAAACATGGAAATAAGATTGGCATAAACTAAAAAGACAAGAAGATTTACATCATTAACAATTGGTAGCGGGATATACAAGCATCAATGCTGGTATATGTAAGATTCATGAATGAGGAATCTTACACTGTGAACATTATATTAATGAGTTTAAAGCAATGGATTTGACTTTTCGTATGTTCAAAAATGTCAATGGTAACAATCATTATTGCAGCTATATTACATCCAAAGCCTCGTTTCCCCTATTTTGTTGAGTATTTTCTTTTCAGATTGAAAAAAATCAATCGTATATGTAGTTGGAATTAGCTTAATTTAAGCTTCGTGTACTCGATTTAACTTTACAAAAAATTCTCCACATAACTCAGCTCGTCTTCACATGTATACAAATGATTATAGAAATGTAACTTTTGGTTAAACAAAAAGTACCTCTAAGACACCATAGATCACGAGAGTAGACATAATTCCGACAACAACGAAAGTACCCTTTAAGAATTTGTTATCCTTAGCATCTACTAACGGTGGGTCAGTCATACTACCATCCATTACCAAAACCTCGACCACCGCCGGTTTCAAAGGCAGTTTATGTGTATATCTACGACCAACTGAAATACAGGAAAACAAAGATGTTAGATAAACCCTAGGATCAGTCAAAAACCCAGAACCATCGAGTGAAGGGCAAGATTTTGAATTTATTAAATCATAATTCAAAGTACACATACCTGACGGTGGTGTCTGATGGTGTTGGCCGACGAATGAGTCCGACTCCGACACTTCTGTCTTCTTCGATCGCATAATTTCTCAATTCTTATTTCTGATTCCGAAGTCTTTCCCTCTGGTTCTCCTATCATCTTTGACCGTAGGTGGTTTAGGATCGATTGCATAACACAAAGAGTCGACGATGGAGATGATGACGGTGGTGGTCGGCAGCCAAGATGATGGTTGTGGATGATCGTTTTTAGAGAAAGATGGGGAAAGGGTGTTGGTGTTATAGGTTTTAAATCTGATAACCTAATTGAAAGGGGGATATTATTTAATTTTATCAATTTACCATAATTAATTATAGTATAGACTACTATTATACCCTTATATTTATTATTAATGATTTATTAATTTCTGGATTCTCATTGGTGCATATATGCACACAATAGTTGCTAGAAACATTTGAACCTCTATATATATATATATATATATATATATATATATATATATATATATATATATATATATATATATATATATATGATTTATACTTTATTTTAGTACGTAAATATGTTATTATAAATTATAACTCGTTCATACGAACTCTGTTTTTGACGTTCCTTATATTCACGCTATCGACGAGATCTACAACTTTCGTTTAGACTCCGTCGGCTAATTTTGACTTTATTTTTTGTCCATATTTTTATAAAACTAAATGATTTTGTTAAAATCACAACTCTCTCGTACAGACTCTGTTTTTGACATTCTTTTCCTCAAAATTGTTATTTTAAAGAGTACTATGATTTTCTTTTTGGTGGCTTCAGCTAAAAGTCAACTATTCTCTTCATAGTTTTTTACATCATATATTCATTGTGGGTGGCTGACTTTTATATCTTATAAAAATGATATCTAATTCATACGGAGTCGGATTTCTCTGAAATTTATATTTTCGGGATCAGGAAGACGTGTACTTTCTAAATATATAATAATATATATGTTTTGGCGCACTTATTTTTACGATTTACGGTCGCTTCGGCTCATTTTTCGTATTTTATTATCTTATAATAATCATGAAACACATAATATAATCATATAATTCTTCTTTATTACGTCAAATAGGTTACAATTGTTGAGCCTAACTATTATTTTGGTTAAGATTATTTATCCTAGATAATATTCTATCAAAAAAATCATTTTTAACGCTTGTTATATCTTAATTGACTAGCCCGAATCAGCGGGTGTTACAATTATATCCCCTTTACGATGGTTACGTCCTGGAATCATCAACAAAACATGGCTTGTATAATGACTCCATACGTTTCCTTTCCATCCTAGGTGGTAATCGTAATTCTTATGTCCTTTCAAATGAGTATCTAACTCTAAGACTCATTGACTGTTGTGTCATACCCCCGAACCAGACGGCGGAAACGTCCGATGGCTCGTGTCACTATCAATTGAAATATCATCACAATGAATATACATGAAACATAACACATTCATCACCAAACATTAAATATTACAGCTGGTATTGTTCACATCAAGTACATTGTCATAGGTTACATAAATCCAAAGTATTAATAGTACGAGGAGTGACGTTACACAAAATAAATCCATACACACTTGAAAGTCCTTCTGCTTTACGATTACCTAAGAATACAAGTTATTTTGAAAACGGTCAACATATATAATGTTGGTGAGTTCATAAGCATATTTGAATAAAAGTCTTTGTATTCTTTGTAAAACCCAGAAAATCCGATATTTTTTGTAAAAAGTCTGAAAATGATGTGAAAATCGAGTATAATGCATGTGTGAATTTCATAGTAGTAACATATAGGAATGCAGTTCAAATTTTCTTTATATTCTTTCTGTTGTAAGTCAGTGGTATTTGAATAATAGTATTTTCTTTAAGCTAATAATACCCTTTTAGCCCCTATAAAACCGTAGGTGTCACTCTTGACCCCAAACTTTTGTTTATTTGCCAAAAATGATCCTTATACAAGATTTTGTTTGGTTTTTCACAACTTAGGTATTTATAACACTTTTAACTTTGTAGCATGGTGTCTAAAGTGTTTTTTTTTTGTGGTTCTCACTTATTTTTGTTAGAGTTTTATAGATATATTTAGTTTATCACACAAACACAACAAAAACCAAGAAAATCACACATAACATGCATAAATACATAGATCTACACATAAATACTTGTATTCTCCCCCAAAAACAAGTAAAAACCGAAAACAAGGGGGTATGAACTCACATTGCTTAGTTGTTCACGGTTTGAAGAAGAAGTGGAAGAAGATTTTTGATCCTATTAAGCTTTCTTGAGTGGATTTCGAACTTAAGAAGTTGTAAGAAGCTAAATCACAAAATAGATGTGGATAAGGAGTGATTTAGCTAAAGAATGAAGTAATCCCACTTAAGTATACAAAATCTTACCAAGGATTGATGATATTAGTGAAGAATGTTCTTGGAACACATGCAAATTCTCGCAAATCTTGATGGAAGGAGGAGTATTCTTGAGAGATTTTAGAGTGTTTGAAAGTGAAGTTTGTGTGTGTGTGTTTGATGTTCACGGCCGAGAGATAAAGAGAGAGAGAGAGAGTAAGGGGAGTTTGCATGGAACATGAGAAATACCTAGATGCATGTTGTGTATAATGCCTTAATATCCTCTAAGTAAAAATGATGTGTCATGGCTTGGGTAATTAGCCATTATATATATTATTTTCTTTTACACATGGGCCAATAAAGGAAAGAATGGAGGGGCTTTGGCCTTTTCTTGATTTGGTTCGAGTTTATGAGGCCCATAGAAAGAGGCTTTTGGCCCATTGGGCCTTTAGGTGTGTTCACGGCCCAATAAAAGTCCCTTATGTAGTTTTATGGCTCTTTAGGGTGATTGGAGTTGTTATGGCCCAATATGGCCCATTAAAGGTAAACCAATCCATTTTAGGCCCATTATGGCCCAAAACGTTAATTTTTATGAACGTGGGTCCAATTAGAGCCCATTTAAGGGTTCTAAGCCCAAGATAGTCAGATTGGATGCTTATTGGTCCATTAGCCCCAATATGGAAACCCTAGTCCATAATAAGCTTGAACCTGGATTTTTAGGGTTTTGAACTCATTATTGACTATTTGGATACTTTGTATAGAGTTTTGAACTTTACTTGTGAATTTTGATTAAGTTTGTTGTCATAGAATGAACATAGTGCATGATATCAAGTTAGGGTTACAAGTATTATCATAGATGATGTTTACATGATCACAGAATTTACTGGCTAAAAATGCCAGTTGTGACATCATCCCCCCGTTAGGGGGAATTTCGTCCCGAAATTCTTTCGAAAACTAGAATCATGAAGGAGAGAATAAGTGAGGGTACTTCTGCTTCATTTGATCTTCGCGTTCCCATGTGAATTTCGGTCCACGCTTGGCGTTCCATCGAAGCTTCACAATCGGAATGCGGCTTTGCTTTGTACGCTTTACTTCCCTATCCAATATCTCGACTGGTTCTTTGACGAACAGGAGATTCTTGTTGATCTCGATCTCTTCTATAGGAATGACAAGAGTTTCATCTGATAGGCACTTTTTCATATTTGAGATGTGGAATATGGGGTGTACGCTGCTGAGCTCGGCAGGTAGCTGCAGCTTGTAAGCAACTGGGCTAATCCGGGCAAGAATCTCAAACGGTCCAATGTATTCGGGTTCAGTTTTCCCCATTTCCCAAAGCGGATCATCCCTTTCCAGGGAGAGACCTTCAGCAACACTCGATCTCTGACATGAAATGCTAATGGCTTTCGCCGCTTATTAGCATAACTCTTATGTCGGTATCGCGATGCTTGAAGTCGAGCTTTGATTTGGATTATCTTTTTGGCCGTTTCACGGATGATTTCTGGTCCTGTGAGAGCACGGGCTGGCGATTTCCCTTTTGCTAGTTGGGTGTCACCCACCTCGGCCTAGTATAGAGGTGATCTGCATTTAAGACCATAGAGAGCCTCGAAAGGAGCAACCTTGATGCTCGTGTGATAACTATTGTTATAGGAGAATTCGATCAGAGGCAAGTGGGCATCCCATGACTTGCCGAAGTCAATCACACAAGCTCGGAGCATATCCTCGAGTGTCTGGATGGTATGCTCGCTCTGACCATCCGTCTGTGGGTGGTAGGCAGTGCTCATATCTAGCTGTGTTCCCATTGCCTTTTGAAGAGATTGCCAGAATCTTGAAGTGAATCTACTATCTCAATCCGAGATAATAGAGACTGGCACTCCATGAAGTCTCACGATCTCCTTGATGTAGATTCGGGTCAGCTTTTCCATCTTGTAGGTTTCTTTTATTGGTAGGAAATCAGCGGATTTTGTTAACCTATCGACGGTTACCCAGATAACATCCAATCTGTCTGCTGTCTTTGGCAATTTGGTCACGAAGTCCATAGTAATCCTTTCCCATTTCCACTAGGGTATCACTGGTTGTTGCAATAATCCCGAGGGCTTTTGGTATTCCACTTTCACTTTGGCGCAAGTAAGACACTTGCCCACGAAAGTGGCTATCTCTGCCTTCATATTAGGCCACCAATAATGTTGCTTGATATCCAGATACATCTTATCTGACCCCGTATGAATAGAATATCGCGTCTTGTGGGCTTCATGCATGACTACTTCTCTGAATCCCCCAATCTTAGGAACCCAGATTCTGTTCTTGAAGTAGTGAGTTCCGTCCTCTTTAACTTCAAATCCCTTATCCATTCCCCGCAATGATTCATTAGCGATATTCTCCGGTTTCAATGCGTCCAATTGGGCTTCCTTGATCTGTGAGGTTAGGTGAGATTGAATGATGATTGATAGAGTCTTCACGCGACGACTTGAATACTCTTTTCGGCTCAGGGCATCGGCTACCACGTTAGGCTTGCCTAGGTGGTATTTAATCTCACACTCGTAATCATTTAACAGCTCAACCCATCTCCACTGCCTCATGTTTAGTTCCTTTTGATTTAAAATGTGCTGGAGGCTTTTATGATCGGTGAAAATGGTGCACTTGGTACCATAAAGGTAGTGCCTCCAAATCTTCAAGGCGAAGACCACAGCTCCCAGCTCTAGATCATGAGTGGT